CCCCCCCCCCACGGCGCAGGGAAACCCCACGCGCGCGCCTGCCCCGGAATTAACTCACCACTCCTGTGCGATGCAGGGAGCTGATGCTCCCTCCTGCAGTACGCCCCGCAGAGCAGCAAGCGCACTTCCGGAATCGCTGGAAGTGGCGCTAAGCTGTGGGACTTCTGTCCATTCCCGGGAAGCCAACACTACCTCCATCTTCACTTGAGGTAGGTAGTGGGGCTTCTCAAGGGGTGGGAGGGAAATGGGGGCGTGGTGGACAGGACGCCTCGCGATTGACTGGTTGAGGCTTCGTGATCAACCAGTCGATCGCGATCGACCTGTTGGTGACCACGGATGTACAAAATGCTGCCTAATAAGCAAAGGAAAGGGATAGTTCACCACATTGCTAGTGCTCACTAACTTTTTTGGTTTGTTTTCAAAGCTGCAAAGGTCACATGCCCCTACAGATCACTAGCTCCTACTAAATGCAATCACCCTACCATGCACTCTGCAGGCAATGTAGCATGCACACACACACACTAATGAACTCTGATGGAGCCTCGGGACTGCTTAAAGAGTAAGGCAAATCTCTTCTTTCCACTCATGCATGTTTCTTTAACATTTATTTTTCTAGTATCCTTATTTTCTAACCAAGAAGGCACAAAGCATTATTGTTATACAGCTCGAGGGAAAAAAAGAAGCCAGTTTACAAGTGTCCAAATTCTAGAGTTTTTTTGAGGGGTTCCAGAGTCTAGATTTCCGTCCAGCTCTATGAATACTGTGATATCGCTATAGGGGTGTCAGCGAACCACTTTGGGCACTGCAATCTGCAAGCTTTGGTCTTGCATAATAAACAAAAATAATTCATGACCAGCAAGCTGAAAAGTTCCCTTTTCCTTATATACCTCAGGAAACTCAGCAGACATCCTTTAATTTGTAGTTTATCAACATATGAAAAGCAGTATCTGAAATCCAAACTTTAAATGGGTGGGGTATGTTTTATCAGCAACAAACAGCTGACATTTCAGATGCATCAAGGACTTCCAGCAGAGTCTGGAACACCTAAGTTTCAGCTAGTTTGCTTAATCGCCATCAAATAGTCACATGGTAACTTTAGTCTTGGCTACTGATTGCAGCCTCCACTCTTCATATAGACCCTCACATTCCTCAAAACCTGCTTCTTGCTTCCTACATTGGGTCACAGTCCAGGAAAGCATTCCTACTTGTAAGTCCTAGTCAAGTCACATACGGAAGTGCATACTTTTCCAAATCGTAACCTTGGCATTCGCAATGACAATATCACTGTTACCTTCACTTTCTTTAGCTGTTGTCTTGAATAATGTTTTTTTTGTCCAAGTTGTCCTGTGAGTTTTTCAGGACAGGAATCTTACCCTGTTTTCTAAGGGGCCACATACGTTTACAGAATAAATGAATTAAAAGGTAAGCAGTAAGTATTCCCAACCACAGCATTATTACTTGAGCTATTACTCAGGATAGCTTTTTTTCCCTGGCTGCTAAAGCTAAGTTTGGTGCTAGACTAACTTGAGAAATCCACACTTTTTGGGAACACATGTACAAACATATTCACATCATGATGGCAACAGAAACCTTACCTCTGCAAACTGGAAGAGTGCTGACTTCCCACAGTGCTTTACGGGCTCAGGATTCCCCAGCTGTGAAGTATTTGATGAGATCTACATTTTGAACAAAGAGAAAAGAGAGTTCAGGGTGACTAGAGGAAGAGAGAAAGGGAAAAAAAAGATGGACTCCCAACTTCTCTCTATTGCAGAGAGTCAGTATAAACACAGGGCACCTGCATTCTCCTGAGACCCAAGTTAGGAAAGCATCTCTCTTCAGGAAGCAGGTGCTGACATTCCATGAAAGTCAACAGGGTATAAGAATGTGCATGAGGTTTTTTTTCTGAATCAGGGTGCAGGTGAGTAACCACATTTTTAGTGGCTTTGTAACCTCTATAGATGACATGTTGTGCATGTAGGCTTTTCTACATAACTTTTCTGAAGTGACCACCTAAGAGACCAGAAAAAAAATGTTACTTAGCAGAGGTAGGTCTTTTGCGAAAATATAAATTTATACTGGAAACTTTGGGGCAGAGCCCTGTGAAGCTACTTAAAACAGTTTGTTTGAGAAGGGGGCAGACTTCAATGTATTCCTTTAAAGTGAAACAAAAGCTTTGGTAGGGAACATTTTCTGGCTCAACAAGGTCTTATTTGCCCTCTTATACAGAGGCTGCAATGCCTGCCTCAGCAGCTGCCTAGTGAGCCACTCGACAGAACTACCTTGCTACAGGTGGCACAGCAGAAAGAGCATTTTAACCTAATAGCAGGCACACAGCACAGAGACCAGTTCACTGTGCTATCCCGACCTTAGCTTTGTCAAGTAAATGACATTGGTAGGAATGAGAGGCCCCATTCCTGAACACTGGCTTTTCAGGGCACAGGTATTCCTGAGACAGTTTCTTCTTAACACACGGATTTATATTTCCAGTTTGGGGATGTACAAAGCCACTGAATTATGATTGCATGCTAGACCACCCCTGGATGACAATGTGATTTTATATCGTATTTTTCCTTTGGAATAGATTCCTTTACTTCGCAGTTTCAAGGGATACTTTGAATGAAAAACAAACAAACCTCCATCTAATTGCCATTTATTCACCGTAGGCCTATGTTTAAAATACAATGGGACATCATTTTTGTTTTATGTTTATTAATAGTTATTATTTCAATTACCATAGCTCCCAGTCAAAAGCAGGTCTCTGTTGTGCGAGGCACTGTGTAGCCATGGTCCCTGCCCCAAAGAGCAACCAGTCTAAAATCCTGATCCTACAATAAGTGCCAGAGAAGCACCCACTAAGTCCACAGAGCCCAACTATAGTCATGAGTGAGTATACTCCAGTGATCTTCCTGCAGATTGGCTTGCAGAATCTGGGCCTTAAGTTTCTTGCATTTCTAGTTTATAGTAATTTACTTTATAAAAATACTAGAAGATTGGGCATTGCTCGGGTCCTTAATTAATTTTTATTTTTCGTCATTTAAATCATTGCTCTGGGATAGGGCTGGGGACGAGGGGCTGAGTAGGCAAGTTGCCCCAGGGAGAGAGGATTCTCCCAGGTCTTTTCACTACAGGAGCTTAGAGCCAGTTGAGCAGCACCTCTCCATGGTTGCTGCAGCTCCAGTGGGTACAGCTGGGGGAAGAGATGCATGCCCCATATTTACACTTTTTGTTGCCCATGACATATATGGCAACTCAGACATTTAGTAAACAGTTAAGGCCTTAAATGACACTAATACTACAAGCATATTTGCATATTTTATATAATGATGAATATATCTATAGTGAGATTATAACTTTAGTCCAAATTTGGGATTGGGGAAAGAGGTGAAATAATGAATCAACTATTGTGTGTACAAATATCACGCCGCTAGGGCAACCTTTAATTTGCAGGCAACATGATTTACAAGCAATTTGCCTTGAATTGCTAGATTTAACCATTTTGCACAACACCCAACAAAAAATAAAAAGCCATCTCTAAGTCTACAACACGTGGGCTAGTGAAGCTGCACGGAGAAGGAATTCCTCCGCAAGCTCCTGCGTCTCCTGATGGCAGGTAGGGTGAGGGAATCAAAAAGGAAATGATACGACATGTCAAGAAGAATACTAGCTCCACTTGTTTTGAAGTTAGTCTAGTGAAAAGCTTTAGTAGAGCAACTAAAAGAAGAGTACTGCTTTTTGAGATGATTAGATTGTTGATTTTATTGCCATCATTCCTTGGAAACATGTTCTTTGTTTAATAAAAGATGAGAATTTAGTTAAGTAAACCCAAGAGGAGCTTGCAGTTCTTCATTACACAGCCGTCATCACCATCTGTTCTCATTTGCCAAACAGATATTCAGTAGGCCTCAAGAGCAAGGGTTTCCATCTGCTTTGTTTCCCTCACTTGGAAAGGAGAAGAGCAGCCAGCAGCACATAATCAGACAGCTCTGCAGCCACGACCAGCAAGTACACTTCAAACCATTGTCCATTGACCAAACTCTGACTTAGATCATGATCTTCCATGGAAAAATCCCATGGAGGGACAACATTTCAAATTCATTAAGCGGTCAGGACCACTATAGGGTGAGCAAGGGCCTTAACTCAATATAATTCTCAGATCAGTGGCACTTTCCTATGGATTTTTAAGCATCTCTATAACATCGGCAGGCATACCCAGGCATGCTGCACGCTACTGAGGGCTCTTGCTCTTGTCTTCCTGTTGTAGCCAGGCAAGAACGGGCAGGCATCATTAGTTACATAATATATCAGTTTAAATGGAAATATATAGTACTTGGTGAAAACAAGAAGATGAAAGGCATACTGGGAATCTCAGGAAGTAAGAATGCCATGCTGCATAATGAGGTGTCTTTGAGTGACAGGGGAATTCTATTCCTGGGGTAAAGATGGCCATTATAAGTGACCCAACTACTTGATGGGGTCATTCTTTTCACAAAGAGTCAGTCTTATTCTCTCCTGCTGTGAAGGGACTAAAGAGAAAGGGAACATATGAGGAACACCCAGTCAGAACAAAACGTTGTCTGGGATGGCAGCCAAGAATCCCCAGGCATACCGGCTCACAATTGCAATTCACAGGACTATTCTGCTACTAGTTAAATATCTACTTTCACTCATTTTTTTTAATGGCACTGTACATTGCTCGTTGCAGTATGTTGCAAACTGCTTACCATAACTCCTCTTACTAATGGTAGCAATGCATTAATAGACTGGGCACAGCAAGAAGTGGCAGAGCAAGAAACAGGATATTTGCCAAATGTGACAAAGATGCCCTGTGTGAATGAAAGTCCTGTATTAGAATCAAGCGGAAGCAGGGCCAAGAGCAGAAAAAAGGACTTAAATCACAGAACTGGAAGGAATCTCATTGGGTCATCAATCTTTGCACTCAGGACCAAGAACCATGCAGATCATCCCTGCCAGGTGTCTGTCTAACCTGCTCTTAAATATCTCCGGTGATGGAGATTCTACCACCTGCCTAGGAAATTTATTCCAGTGCTTAATCAACCCAACAGTTAGTAAGCTTTTCCTAATGTCCAACCTAACCCCCCCTTGCTGCAATTTAAGCCCATTGCTTCTTGTGCTATCATCAGAAGTCAAGGAGAACAATTTTTCTCCCTCTTCCTTGTAACACCCTTTTTGACACTTGAAAACTGTTACCTTGTTTCCTTTCAGTCTTCTCTTTTTCCAGACTAAACAAACCCAGTTCTTCCTTCATATGCCATGTTTTCTAGACCTTTAATCATTTTGTTGCAATTCACTGGACCTTCTCCAATTTGTCCACATCTTTCCTGAATGTGGCACCCAGAACTGGACACAATACTGAAGCTGAAGCCTAATCAGCGCAGAGTAGAGCAAAATAATTACTTCCTTACAGCACTCCTGCTAAAATATTCCAGAATGATGTTTGCTTTTTTTTGGTAACACTGCTGATTCGTATTTAGCTTGTGGTCCACTATGACCCCTAAAGCCCTTCATTTCCTCTTCTCTGTGTGTGAAACTGATTGTTCCTTCCTAAGTGGAGTACTTTGCATTTGTCCTTGTTGAATTTCCTCCTATTTACCTCAGATCATTGCTTCTTGTTCTCTCATCAAGAGTTAAGCAAAATAATTTTTCTCCCTCCTCCTTGTAACAAGGTAGTTGCCGTGTGTCTAGATAATTTTGAATTATAATCCTATCCTCCAAGGCACTGCAACCCCTCCCGGCTTGGTGTCATCTGCAAATTCTCTAAGTATACTCACTATGCCATTATCTAAATCATTGATGAAGATATTGAGCAGAACTGGTCCCAAAACTGATCCCTGCAGAACCCCACTTTTTATGCCCTTCCAGCATACTGTGAACTACTGCTAACTGGAAATAGTTATTCAACCAGTTTTGCAACCACCTTGTAGTAGTCCCATATAGGTTGTATTTCCTAGTTTATTAATGAGACGATTATGAAAGATTGTATCAAATACGTTACTAAAGTCTAGTTATACTATATCTTTTGCTTCCTCCTTATCCACAAGTCTTGTTATCCTTTTAAAGAACATGATCAACTTGGTGTGTTCGTGAGAAATCCATGATGATTGTTACTTATCACCTTATCTTCTAGATGTCTGCAAATGGATTCCCTAATTATCTGCTCCATTACCTTCCCTGATACAGAAGTTAAGCTGACTGGTCTGCAGTTTCTGTAGTTTTCTGGGTAGTCCTTATTTCCCTTTCTGTAGATGAGCATTATATATACACCCCCTTTTCAGTTTTCTGGAATCTCTCGTGTCTTCCATGACTTTTTAAAGGTGATCGCTAATGGCTCAGATACCTCCTCAATCAGCTTCTTAAGTGATCTTCGATGCATTTCATCGATCCTGGTGACTTGAAGACATCTAACATGGCTACATAATTTCTTCTTTTCTTATTTTAACTCCTGAACCTACCTCATTATTACCTGCATTCCCTATGTTAGGTGTCCATCACTAACGTTTGAGCTTTGTGGCTTGGCCTTTCAGATTTTGCCTCTACATACTTGTGTTATTTGTTTAAATTCATCCTTTGTAATGTGACTTAATTTCCAGTTTTTGTAGGATTCCTTTTTGATTTTTGGATCATTCAAGATCTCCTGGTTAAGCCCAGGTGGTTTCTTGCTCCACTTCTCATCTTTCCTATGCAGTGGAATAGTTTGCTCTTGTGTCCTTAATAATGTGTCTCCTTAGAAAAAATGCCAACTATCTTCAATTGTTTTTCCTCTTACACTTGCTTCCCATGGGACCTTACCTACGAATTCCCTGAGTTTGCTCAAGTCTGCCTTCTTGAAATCCACTCTCTTTATTTTGCTCTTTTCCCTGTTTTACCATTCCTTAGAACCATGAACACGGCAATTTCATGATCACTTTCACCCAAGATGCCTCCCACTTTCAGATTCTTAACCAGAGATACTACAGCTTATTGTGTGTTTACCCTGGAACAACCTGGATAAAACCCGGCTGCATACCATGTCCCTGATGCTTTGTACTAAGACGTTAGCATGACGCATGGGATGAACAAAGGTTCTTGGTGATGAAGTGGTTTTTATGGCTCTGTCCATATTTCTCTCTCAGCTCCCTAATTTGAAGCAAATTGTTATCCTAAACTTCAGAGGCAAGACCCGTTTGGAACAGAAATTATTTTCTTTCAACATGAAATATCTCCTAGTTACATGTAACAGAATAAGGGAAGGTTTTAATATTTTCAACAGGGACCCCCTCCTCCCCCCAGATCCTACATTTTAAAAAATCCCTCTTTCACATTAATTAATAAAATGCACCTTCCAAGTCCCCTTGAAGGCTACTGTTTCATATAAAATCTTCAATATATTGGGTAAACTAGAAGAAAGAAGCAGGTGCATCATTAAACTCACTTATGGGTCACTCCTACAAGAAATCTAGGGAATGTTATACATTTTAATAGAGGAAATCCTAAAAACATAGATACAATGATTATTAACTTCTTTAGAGTGGTCTGAAAATTCTGCAGGCAAGCAGTCGTATTCTGCTCAGTTCTACATCTTATTGTTAACAGTCATTTGGATAGCACCCAAACAATAGTAGAGATCTTAATAGGAAATGAGGGGATTTAGTTACACAACTCATTTGTGGTATTCACATTCACAGGAGTTGTGTTTTGAAATCCTGTAGCTAGTTTCAAAAGTCTCACCCTACGGCTTTGTCCTACTAAATGCTTTAAGCTTTTCCCATGAAGGTTGCCCAGTCTGATTTATAAAGAAAAACATTTAGGATATCTGGAAAGTCCTTCACAACTACTATATATTCATGCTATAGGGCATCTTGCCAGCATACTGCTATTTGGACATTTTCTGACCCCTTAATGGTTACTTGTAAATTAATGTTTTATACTTTGATCTCTTGTCAGTAATTGTGTCTGGATTGTCCATCATATCCAGGCAACACATAATTAGCTTAAAGCTTAACACAAAAGAAGACGCTAGGCTAGATCAGTGTTTCTCAACCAGTGATACGAATACCCTTAGGGTTACTCGAGAGAAGTCTGGGGGGTACATCAACACAACTGAAATTTGGAGAAAACTGAATTTTTCGTTTTTATTTTTACGTTTTATTATTTTTGTACTTTTTACAGCCTAAAAATATCATCAGCCGCCAGGCTATGATTAAGTTGTTTAAACAAATGTGTTGCAATGGTAGAAAAAAATTGTGTGTATCTGAAAACTGTAGGTACTGGGGGGTATTTATAATTTTTTTTTTTTAACAGGGGTACTTCATAAAAAAAGGTTGAGAAACACTAGGCTAGATTATATCCAAGAACATATGAGCACAAAGGGCAATGAGTGGGGACTACAAAGGTTCCTGGATCCCATAACGCAGCCAAGAGTAGGCCAGACAAAATCCCAATTCTTATGCTCAAACAGCAGAGACTCTGAATATCTAACTCCACAAATAATACTAGACTCCCAAAAGTAAACTGGAAGAAAGTGTGACCACATTATTAAATACATACAATATATTCCTACAGAGGGAACGATGTTAACATTATTGATATCATAATGTAGAGATTCAAGTATACATAGCAGAAAAAATATAGAATCAAAGGGTTGGAAAAGACCTCAGGAGGTGACTGAGTCCACCCCCCTGCCCAAAGCCAGACCAATCCCAACTAAGTCATCCCAGCCAGGGCTCTGTCAAGCCAGGAGATTCCACCACCATAGGTAACCCATTCCACTGCTTCACCGCCCTCTTAGTGAAATAGTGTTTCCTAATATCCAACTTAGACCTCCCCCACTGCAACTTGAGACCACTGTTCCTTGTTCTGCCATCTGTAAGAAGCTCTAGCCACATGTTCAAGGTATTTTTGGATACGTTGTCTAATGTGCATTATTTATTGATCCACCATGGGATTAGGTGGCCTTGTAACCCTTCAGATTTGATTTCTATGCTCTCTCTCTCTATCTCTGAAGTATATGCTTCCAGTCTGCAAAGGCAGCTGTTACTCCACAATTGCTGCAGTTCCTTACAAAGGAAGCACACACAACTACTTTGGAGCCTCTGCTGTTGTTTCCCTTGATCTAAATTAGGAGGCTCTTTGGAATAAAACTCTGTGATTGTTCTTCGGTACGGAAAGACATAATATCCCTGACTCCAACGCTTTTGGATATGTGGCACCTGGCGTGTTATGTACGGTGTATTACAGCTGTTAGAACAGCAAACCTGGATCTCTGGCTACTACACTAACATTCTTCCCTAGCAGAAGGTGCAAATCAATTCTATCTTGCTCCTGGGATTTTACTACTTGTTCCTTTTGCTTCTACTGATATTGCCTGGTGTAAGCCACACATGTTGTACTGCAGCATTTGACTGATTCTTTTGAGGAAGAAGAAATATGCAGTGAGGAGGAGGCATGGATCTTATCAGGGTACTCTGTGTGTCTGCTGAGATGCCGAGAGCAGGGCAGGGTAACCCGGATAGAAGGACCCAGGGAGTTTCCAGAAAGGGATCGAAGAATTATAGGATATGCTTGGTAGCTATCCTGAGACTATAGGAAGTTTTTCCATTGTGGTCACTGCACCCTTATCACCCTCTGAAAGCCAAGTAAATCAGAGTGAAAAAGATGGAGAAAGGCTACTGAGGAGTTAAAAACAGTCCTATGAACTCAATAGCTGCTGTACACATGACCAAAAGATGTGTCTGCCATGAGGGTGGAGTCTCTGTCCTTCTGCCATTTTGGATATGGGTCAAAGCTATTCTAGCATTACTTACTAGGGAAGGATAATGTTTGGTGGACCATGGAGTGTTTTATGGGCCTACAGAGAGAGATGGGAGGGGAGCATTTGTTACCCCTAGATGCTACAGAGCCTGTGGACTTAAATTTAGCTATTACCTAACAGCTCTAAACTGGGATTTTGTCTCTGTTTGGGTGCGCCTACACAGCAGGGCTTAGCTCAATTTGCATAGCTTATTTCGGGGCATGTCAATTGTGTAGCTTATTTTGAAATAGCTTATTTCAAAATGGGGAGCATCTGCACTGCAATTATGTCGAAATAGAGCGTTCTTCCTCCAACTTCCCTTATTCCTCGAACAATGAGGGTTGCAGGAGTCGCAGTAAGAAGTCCTCCAGCTTGACAGTATTTCGACGTTATCTTGAAATAACTGCCTACTGTGCAGATGTGGACTAAGTTATTTCGAAATAATGTTCCCGTGTAGGCTTACCTTTAGAGCGAGGGAGAGTGCAGGGGCAACTCTTGAGCAAAGAGATAAGCTGAAGTGCAGGAAGAAGGAGAGTGTACAGACACACAGAATATTGCCTGTACATCTCCATTCCCCCGCTATGCGTGCAAAGGCTGATCAGTCATAATTAGCAATATCTGTTCCTCTCTCCCACTTAAAACAAAAAAAGGTTACGTTGCTATACCTCCGCAAACTGAAACAGTGCCGACTCCTCAGTTTGTTTTGCAGCCACAGGGGCATCCGGTTGTAAAGAATGGTTTTGTGAAAAATTATGTAGCTTCAACATTGTTCATTTCTCATACCAAATGTACAAGGACTCCCTATATCCAAGGCCATGAAGATAACTACTGTAAAGAGTACTTGTCTTTCCTAAAGGACTAATCAATGGTAATACATCACTTTCACTCTTAAAATCACCATGAGAATGAATACTACATAATAGATTTTAAGTGCTTTTACTGGCTCATTGTAGAGTTAAAATAGCAATATAATAAAAGTAACACCGTCTCATGTTTCAGAGTTCAATGAAAGAGTTATTTCATTCCAGTGTGCTGGCATTTACAAAGCACAACAAGCAACTTAGTTTGGAACATGTGTGGATGCAGACATCACAAAGGCTGCACAAAACTACAGCAAGGCACTGGATAAATTCCAGTAGAAAAAGACACCACACTTTATGTTAGTATGGATTGGGTCATTCACAGAAGGAACCAGAATTTCAGATGAACATTGGGTTTATACTGTGATCTATTTTTTACTGCCATAAATGCCTACAATGCAACTGGAAGCAGGTTTTAATTTCCAAGGAAATTAAGGCAGGCCAACAGATAGGCCTCTTACATGAAGCATATATCAGTAGTTTCCAGCTTGCTCACCTACCAAAAGATGGATTCCCAGTTGTGGCAGTGGATTGGCACTCTACCCTTCCACTGGGTGAGGAAAACCCAATGGAATTTAGTGGGAGGTCACCGGGCCTAAATACAGCACCTAAAAAATGCTGCACAATGTCCCCCTGCCCACTCCCTGAGGCATTGCAAAATGAGCAAATGCAGTCAGCAGGTGAGCTGTAATTTCCTCTGTATGTTCACAGGCTTATCAGGAAACCCCAAGCAAAAGGCACTTGTGGAAAATAGTGATTTTTGCTATTTTTCAGAAATTGTGCAAAATACAACATTAAAATATTAGATGATGAATATGTATTTATTATCCCCACTATCACCAAAAATGGATAATATACTTGATTAAATTTTAAAATGGTGATAAGTGATATTACTATCTGGCAGACTGTATTCCCTCTCCCTTCAAGAGTGAAGCCATTAGCTTTTAAGAATTCAAAGCATATATTATACATTTTATCCTGGCTATTATCTTTCCTGACATGTAAAGGATCAGCCTATTAATATATGTCAGGGGTTCCAGGATCTTAACTTGGAACCTTGGGATTCATGGATTGAACCCAAGACAAAAATCCCATTCTGTACATGCCAGCATTTATTTATTTTGGCAGTGGAAGTGGAGAGGGCAAAATTATTAGCGTTAAAAGGACAGAGGCTCAGATTCACAGCTGGTGTTTATCTGCAAAGCTGGATTATCTGCAGGGGAGCTAGACTGATTTACACCAGCTATTGATCTGGCCCTAAGTGCTTCATCTTTAACTGAGTGTCTCTGCAAATGGGTTTAGATTAGCCCTTACATTTTTTAATCCAAGAGCTGTACAGAATTTAGCCACAAAACACCCCTTGGACAGTTCTCAAGAACTGCACTGCTCATATGTTTACATGTGCACATCATTTCATTATTTACAATTATTTTAACCAACCAGAAAAAAACTGTATTACTCAAAGGAGCCCCAGATGGTCAATAAGAGCTTAGATTCTCTCTGAGAACAGATACTACGTCAATGAATCCATTACACTTTAACTAAGTTTGTGTACTATTCATAAAAGACACGAGCAGCGCCAAAAAGAAGCTCTGAAGGTTTAGAAAGAAAGGCAACAGTGAAAGGGATATAAAGTACAAAGTCTGCCTTCTAGGACAACTGAGAATTCAGGACACAATCCAAACAAGGCATAGTTTTAGGTGGGACTGTTCACACATTTGTAGCGACTAAGGTGGATTAAGTCTTTGCAAGAACAGGCCCTTAGCATTTGGTCAGCTCTGTGGCTGTAGATAAAGGAAGACTGTGGAGCGTCCACAGGCTCATAGAAGCCATACAATTACTTCTGACTGAGTCAACTGCTAAAATGGTTACACTGGTTCAGATATGTAATTAAACAATACAGAACTCTATCACAACCTTGGCTTCTCAGTAAAGGGCCATGTTACCTAAGGCCATTCCTACACTACATCTAACTGAATACTTCTCTGAACACTATTACAGCATTGTGTTTAGGGTTTCCATCATGTTCTACATTCACTTTTCTGCAGCTCAAATCTGGCTTCCCCAACTGGTAATGAACCATTACCCATAAATAACAGACCAGTCTCTTTCAGCAAAAGTATTTGGGATTTCTTTTTTTTCCTCCCTTGGCAAAAAACAAAAACAAAAAAACAAAAAAAAAAAGTATCCTACTATTTTTAGAAACTCACCTCTGCAAACTGGAACAATGGTGACTTCTGACACGCTTCAGTAGAGTTAGATGCATCAGACTGGCAAGTACTTGGGGAAACCTGAAACAGTGACAACAGGGAATAAAACATCAATGATGTGCCTACAAAGGCAGAAGCAATATCTAGTAACAAGTAATATTGTGCAGTAGCAACAGCAGCATTCAGAAGCAATGTTTAACAGAAGATGGGCAATCTGTGCATACATAGAAGTGAATGGTATCAAAGCCAAAATCAGTAATTTATTATCCTTTTTAATACACCTCACAATAGTTTAAACAGCAGTTAGGCCCCAAAATAACGGTATTTGGTTTTGATTTTCAACTTCATCATAGCTGATGAACCAAATATTAAACATACATATAACTTGTGTTGTTTATGCTGTGGGGACTGCTGCAGCTTCTATTTGCAAATTGTTTATGGAGAAAAAAATTGAATATTCCAACAGTAACTCACTATTTCAAAACTGATGGAGTTTGCTACGTAACAAATATGAATTTACTTATAACATTGAAAAAGAAACCATGTACTTAAAAGCAAGGAAATGGTCACTAACTCTTGCATTGCTCACATAAAGAAAGACATGGCATGCAATTTTCAAAAGAGCTTAAGGTATGTCTACACTACCACCCTAGTTCGAACTACGGTGGTAATGTAGGCAACCGGAGTTGCAAATGAAGCCCGGGATTTGAATTTCCCGGGCTTCATTTGCATATTGCCGGGCGCCGCCATTTTTAAATGTCCGCTAGTGCGGACTCCTGCATTGCTCACATAAAGAAAGACATGGCATGCAATTTTCAAAAGAGCTTAAGGTATGTCTACACTACCACCCTAGTTCGAACTACGGTGGTAATGTAGGCAACCGGAGTTGCAAATGAAGCCCGGGATTTGAATTTCCCGGGCTTCATTTGCATATTGCCGGGCGCCGCCATTTTTAAATGTCCGCTAGTGCGGACTCCGTACCCCGCGGCTACACGCGGCACGGACTAGGTAGTTCGGAATAGGAAGCCTAATCCGAACTACCTAGTCCACCCGGCAATATGCAAATGAAGCCCAGGAAATTCAAATCCCGGGCTTCATTTGCAACTCCGGTTGCCTACATTACAACCCTAGTTCGAACTAGGGTGGTTGTGTAGACATACCCTTAGTGACTTATGACGATTTAGGACTTTCCACTGACATTCACTTAGCACAAAACAAACTAACCAAAATAGAACATTTAAAACACTGTTTTGTAGGTCAGAATAAAGGCTACTGTGATTGATTATGCGTTGTACTTGATTTTTAAAAGCACGTAAGTGACTTAGGAGAACAAGTCCCATTTAAAGGGTAATATAAAATAGTATATTTATGAAACATCAAAATTTTTCAGGGTAAACTGCTGTCTCAGGAAATTTGTCTCAGAAGACTTGTATCTGCAGCTTAATAGATGTGTGTAGAAGCAGGGCATGATAAAATTATGCACCTTTTGTAAGGTGACCAATAGCCAATTAAAAGTGAAGAGGCTATGTGGAACTGTGGGTATGTACACTCTCTCACACTTGCATATTAAATGACAGGCTCTAGGAACACTTCCCCACAGAGTTTTTATATGTAATTTCGTGCATTAAGAAGATGTTAAAATATTTGCATGAAAACATCAATATTTGATAAGCAAACAAGACAATTTCCCCAGCATTGATGTCTTAAATTCTTCACCACAGTAAATTTGCCAATGACAAACAGATGTTGCGCACCAAAATACAGAGGCCCCCAAATGTCCTTGCTGATTTTCCAGATACATTCTCTTCCCCCACACCCTATCTTCCCCATTTACTGGTTGGAAATGTTGGTTTTAAGGTGAGGGGAGACTGCTGGTTGTATTGTATTTAAAATTGTATTGTAAATGAGTGAAAGGCACTGAGAACCCTGGAGAAGTACTCTTTTTTGATTCATTCATATACAAGTTGAAAAATTGACTCAGCAGCAACTGAAATGGTGCAACTTTGGACTTCACGGACTGTATATATTTGTGAGAACACACCTGTCTGTGGGCTGTAAGCATGACAGCGTACAGAAAAAGCACCAGAACGTACAGTTGTCCTAGCTACAGACTACTCTTTGCAGTCTAAGCGCAGGTAGTGGCAAGGAATTTGTTACTTGAGATTCTGCTCTCACCATGCTGCCGATGATTTCTCAGCTCATTTAGCCTTCTATGTTTACTAATGGACTACTGCCTCCACGCCCGCCGCCCTCCTGACGATCAATGCAATTCATATGCGGCTAGTGAACGAGATTTTACAAACTCCACAAGTCTATCTAGACACCCTCCTGCCATCTTCCCTCTTTAAAGAAGTTACCCCCACCAATTTGATTCCAGACTGTTGGTAATTCATATCCCAATAGAACCTCATCAAACAGTATTTGCAATTCTGAACATTTATTTTGCTTCCTTTCAACCACAGTCTAGCATCAGTGAGTTGTAGCAAGATCACAAAATACAGCACTTGTGAGTATAGGACAGACTATCATAAATTATTGGAACCTAATTATAATCATCACAACAGTTGAAAAAGGAACATTTGTGAAACACACTCCTTGACTTAACAGAGTTGGTTTATTTCAGGCCAGTACACTGATGGGGAATATGCCCAAAGTAAAGTTCCTCAGAGTTGGCCCCTATTTATGAAATTTATAAAACTCAATTCAACTGTCATGCTACTCCAGCCACTAGTGAAGTCTGACATCATAAAAGCCCGTGGAATACCAGTGCGAAATATCCTTGAGGGCTTAATTTTGCTTTTCAGACAGAGCTCCACATGGTGGGGGAGCAGTAGACAGTCCCCAACAGAAGCAGAACTCTGCAGGCCCGTACGGGTTTGTCTACACAGCAGTGTTATTTCGGAATAACAAAATGCACGTATACACAGCAAGACATTATTTTGAAATAATATTGAGCTGGAGGACTTCTTACTTTGACCTTACTTCTTACTGTAACCCTCACTTCATGAGGAGTGAGGGAAGTCAAAGGAAGAATGTTCTTCCTTCAACTTCCTGCTGTGTAGACAGCGCCAAAAGTCAAGTTAAACTACTTTGACTTTACCTACGCCATTAACGTAGCTGAAGTTGCTATCTTAATTCACCTTTTGCCTGGCAGTGTAGAGGTGCCCAAAGCAACTAGAGAGGAGAGCCTACTCCACACCTCCTTGTCCCACCATTTTGTAGACATGACTAACCCCATGCAGGATAAGGGCTGGAAATGTGCTCTGTTCCTGGGTGGACATGCAAAGGGAGAAGAGGTTCCTTGTCACCTTACACTTGCACACACAGTGATGCTGGAGACTAGGCAGAATTTCTGGCTTGAAGCTGTTTGTGTGACTACAAAAACACAGTTATTACTGAAAAAAGAAACTGTTCGGGATGGCAGTATAACCATGGCTATAGGTAATAAGCCCGGACTGATATTCATCTTGCAGGGTTTGATATAGGCATAATTAAAATCAATTAATTAAAAATCAAGTCTGATTTTTTTTCCTTGAATTCCCCTCAGTTCTGCCAAACATTCCCCACCCACTACACCAAATTATTTACTCCCAAGCCAAGAATAGCTTTTCCAAGTCCAGGTTCAGATGTACCCATATGAATTTGGAATTGAAACAATGAAAGAATCTAAGACCACTGCAAAGACTTGCATGTGAATAGCCCAGCTGAGTTTGATGTGAAAGAATGTAGTTAGGTCTTTGATCAGGGCCTAGAATGGTAATGGCAATCACTAAACCTCTACTTTTGCTGTTCCTCTCTTGTCCATTCCAACGCGGTATCAGCTTACCCTCGGCAACACACAACTGACACTGGACCATCTCTTGTGACTTACACCCTAGTAATGTAGCTCTTTGTAGTTATCAGTTAAGCCAAGGGCTCAACATCCATCCCCCAAACAGCACAATGCATCCCTTCTACTTGAAGCAGAAGAGAAACATCCTCATGCTTTGCTCATATTCTCGCTTCTCCTCATATATTCCCCAAACTTAGCCTAAAGTAAAAAGAGTAAAATAAAAAAACCTGCAGTGATTGGCACCTTAAAATACTTCAGACCAGTGGTTCTCAACCTTTCCAGACAACTGCACCCTTTTCAGGAGGCTGATTTGTCTTGTGTACCCTCCAACTTCCTTTTACTTCAAAATTACTTGCTTACAAACATCAGATATAAACGTACAGAAGTGTCACAGCACATTATGTTGGAGAACTGGCTTATATTCTTATTTTTGCCATATAATTATAAAATAAATCAATTGGATTATAAATATACTTACATTTCAGTGAATAGTATATAGAACACATATAAACAAGTCATTGTATGAAATTTTAATTTGTACCAGTTTGCTAGTGCTTTTTAATGTAGCCTCTTGTAAAACAAGGCAAATATCTAGATCAGTTTATGTATCCCCGCCTTGAAGACCTCTGCGAACCCCAGGAGTATACGTTCCCTGATTGAGAAGCACTGCTTTTGACTGCAAAAGATTATAATGGGTTACACAGATTGAGGGCAGGGGGAATAATGAGTGACAGCAAAATTGCAGCACTACTGTTCAGAGGAACTTCTCTGAAATAACTCATCGAACCCACTAGGTGTTGCTATAAGTCTAACAAAAATCTCCACTAACAGGATAACAGGATATTGTCCGTGGGATGTCAAATTGAAAACAAGAGGCATTTCCCTTGGAGACAAGTTAACACATCCCAAACCTTTTTCAGATTCTGTTGTTCCCATAAAGCATTTTGCTTTTGTTGTGTGCACCTTTAATGTCTTCTGACCACCTGTCTAATAAACTCAATTTTGTGTTTAAACACTATGTTGGCTAGCAAAACTGAACTTTCTTAACAGTGGAAAACAGTGTAGTTGGTTGAACAATTATGAAAACAGGGATGTAGCTGGCAGCATGATGACCAAAAGGAATGGGGGCAGAAACTACAGCGCTACAATGCAAATACCACTGTTGATTCATCTTTTCTCCTTCTTCATATATACACATTCACAGCTTTTACAACTATGAGTAACATTTGGCACCTCATTTTATGTAGCCTTAACAAGGAAGTCCATGAATGTCAGCTAATTTATTAAGGATTAACAGTTCTGTATCTTCATATTCCAGTTAATCTCCAAGAAATGTATGTTAAGACTAGTGTCCCCCTTCTTTAATTTAGATTTAATAACTAGTAAAGCACTTTAGCCCATATTACTGTCTCAACAGTGATGCCTGTTCCTGGGGGTCTGTTTTACCATCATGGGTTGGTCTTCACACCGTGCACCCTGAGCTAAATGCACCTACAGGATGACACTACTACATGCTGCATTTGCCAAAGGATCCTGAGACGGGTTAACTGACATGATTCTTGTGAATATACCCCAAGCTGAACTCATGTTACATAGTAGCAGATCTTCAGTTTGATTTCCACCTCTCAGCCCCCTGCTTCAGAAGCAGAGCACAGCTTCTTGTGCTGGAGGGAGTGTAAATGCCAGCATTGAAAAGGGATTTGTGAAGGACAACTACCCAAATAACTGATGCCTGGAATCTGCTAGGTCCCTAGTCAGTGCAAGGCTGCATGTGCATTCTGGTGAATTGTAGCACTCACACACCATGTTTTAAATCTTAACTAATTGTCACAACAGCCTTGGAAGTGCCGTCTCAGTGACTTAGCTGGACTTTCTCTACGATTGCTCTTTCTGGCTGCTGTGGGACGCCCTGGTGCCTAGCAACAGAATCAAAAGCAAGTCAACTGTCTTTTCTGTCAAGGACAGGACCTTGTGGGGGAAAGGGAGGAGTGGAAGGGGAGATAGGGGCAGGGAAGGAGAAGGGCAGATAAAGAGTAGATGGGTCTATAACTATTAGAGTACATGGTGCTATAGAACCTGGATGGTGCTGAAGTTCAGCATTTGTTGGCTACTAGCAAATAGCTGTGAAACTCATTGGTAGCATTCATCTTGCCGTCTAGAGACAGGCCCACATAGATAACTGCAAATTGCATAGCTTATTTCAAGGTAATTTCACAATAAAAGGCTATTCTGAAATGTCCCTTAACACTCATGAAACGAGGGTTACAGGGATTCCAGAATAGTGTGCCCATTATTTCAAAATCTATTTTTAAACAGCGGGCTGCTTTAAAGACATAGAATAGCTAGTTTGGGATACTTCCTGTATCCCGAAATAGCTCCGCAGTGTAGACGTAGCCTTACTGTTTTCAGCATTTGCAACAGGAAAAATATTTTCCCCCCTTCTGGAGCCAAGCAGGTCATTTTATATACTTTTTGGAATAGGAATGTGTGTCACATGTCCAAATTTTTAAAGCTGGGCTTCAAACATCTCACTTGTGGTATACAATGCCCATCATAATGCACCGGTTTGGCATGAGACACCAAATGTACGATTTGAACCCTCAAATGTACCCTAAATAGTAACCAATCTGCTGAAACCCACAGGGTTCCTCTGCTGCCAGAGAAATGAAAAGACTTTTTTTATTTACCAGATCCTACATAAATGTAAAATGTTTGTATTACAGTTGAATGAATTAAAAAACATTTATACCTGCTGTGCATAACCGAGCCCTAAATAACAGGAATAGGCTATAATACCTTGAATGCATGCTAACTCTTGCAGCCTTTTCAAGATGAAAGCTTACATATGGCCAATGTAAATATATTATTAACTATTTATTTTGCTCTCTCTTTCAAAGACCCAAGTCAGGAAAGGGACCGAGTTGTGCCAGGCACTACACACACACGCGCAGAGACAGTCCTTGCAATCCATGCTCTAACAGAATCAGAACATTTCAGCACTTCTGGTTTTGACAACAACGATCTCTTAATAGGAGTATGTAAGGGGTCTTATTCTCATCTCGTATCACTGAAGTCGATCCGCGACATTATATGGCTACAGTTCAGAAGACACTAGGTGAGTTGGCAGACTCGGGGGTGGCCTGGCTCCTTAGGGGTAGAGCCTCGGCTGGAAGGGGTGGGACCAGAACAACCAGCCCATGGCACTGCCCTGACTGCATCCCTTTCCAAAGTGTGCTGCCTGGTGCTCTGTAGCATGCCGCGTACGGCAGCAGCAGCGATTTTAAGGCCCCTCTGAATCACTGGGCCCTGGGGCAGTTGCCTCCCTCCACCCCCCATTAGCAGGCCTGAAAAACACACCAAAATCATGATTTAAAGAGAATCAAGCCATGCTTCACACACACGGATGCGAAATGTTGGCTAAGATGTATACTGAATTAATATATATTAATATAAATATATTAGTTATATAATATATTGCACATTAATATATCATATATAACAACATTAATATTTATTTATAAAATAATATAAAATACATTAATATTTGTCGAACATTCCTATTCGGCATTGCTACTAACTGATGGGTTGGGGTGGAGAGACAGTTACTTACCGCTGGTGCAGTCAAGGCATGTTCCCCTGCTAAAAGCAGCATACTCAGGCCTCCCATCTGTGTAGGATCTGTTCAAGAGAAAAACAAATATGAAGGGGATTCATCTGCATGCAGAAAGGACCCAGTGTCCATAGTGAAAAACCTTAAAAGGCTACGTGTCACAGATAGTCCAAAGCAAGATGCCACAGAGCCAGTCCAAGAGAATCACAAATCACCATGTCTACATTCCCTCTGGGATAGACATTCAAAGCTGTATGAGGGATTTCATTGGATGTGTGTGATTTTTCTCTCCTTTGTGTGGATTTACAATTTTACTGCCACAGGTTCCAAGCACTGTAGTAGTGGACAGACATCTTTAAACCTGCAAGTACGATCTCATACCAAGCACATGCAAAACAGGACTAAAATCACAAATATTTACTATGGAAATGAAAGCTCAGAATGGGGAGTAACCCTCCCGCAGCTGCAGAACAAGAGGAAGCTTTCTTTTAACAAGAGAGAAGCATGTTTGCTTTTTGATTATTTTTTAACCAGAGCTGAATTGGGTTCAAGTAGGCCAGGCTGACAGCTCTGGACAAGGAAGCCTTCTCTTCATCCATAGCACCAATACAGCTCAGGCATATGGTTGGGCAAATGGCCCAGTTATCACCCAGTCAATATCGTATGAGGTAGGGTTGAAGTAATCTTAAAAAAATAAATGTCTGATTTTGATATTACTCCTCCCAGGCCTTCCTGAATGTCAAGAATTCTACTAGTAAAAAAACAGTGAAAGCAATAAACAGTAACACCGTGCACTTACAGAGTGTCTTCTTCTGGGATCTCTCAAAACTTGCCTTCTTTATTATTACAAGTAACTAATATTAGAGCAATGCCTCTAGGCTTCCCCTGTTATGTTAGGTGCTGTACCTACAGTAAAACACTACAAGAACTTACAAGATAGACCAAGGGGAGGAGAAAGAAAATAATTATCCTTATTTTACAGATGAAGTATGTCTATACTCAACACTAAGCATGGACTTTGATGCAGGTTTGAGCCCACCCCCGCTTCTGTTCACACACAAATAAAAAAAATCAGTCTGACTCTGGTCAGCAAGCATTCAGGGCCTGGATCTTGGACCATGCTAGTGTGTGGGTCAAAGTGTGAGCCTGCCTGTGAAGTGGGTCCAAGTGTCCTGGCATTTTGCAGTGCAGACAGAGGTCAAACCGTAATCTCAAATTAGAAGAGCTGCTTACTACAGTATAGATTAGCATGGCTGGGTCTAGTAATTTTAAGCTGAGATTTACAATGCAGCACGGATGCTCAAATACAGGCTGGAAAACAGAGAGTCCACAAGCCTCGGTCCTACACACCTGGGGCTACAATACTCTGTAGGCTTACCCTGAGGATCAGGGAGATAAAATCACTTTCCCAAGTCTCATACGCTGTCTGTTACAGAGCTGAGATTTGAGCCCACACCTCCAAAATTCCTGTCCATTGTGTTGATCAGACAACCATTTTTCTTCTCGAAACTTTAGGAGCCTTTTTCCACTTTCCCATTTAATTTCTCAGGGGTAAAAAATGGAAGCTTGATGGGGCCAAATACAGGTTTAAAATCATCGTAGTAAGGAGAAGATAAAGTAATCCTCAAAATGAAAATACACTGGTTTGGTGCACTGATGTGGAATTTTTAAAAAGCAGGGGACAGAAAAAACTCTAGATGCAGAAGGCAGGACAGGAGTGGAATTCAGGCACACTACACAACAGAAATACTGTCTTGCCAGACCAAACTGTCCAATTCTAAAAGCCCTCCTCACCAGAAGAGCAGTCCAACTGCACTGACAGCCAGCAGTTCTTGTCCTTCCAGTTGCGGGACATCAAAGCAATGGAATTTGGTGGGTGAAAGGAAAATATTATCCTTCAAATACAAATGACCATGTCTATGATCGTCTGCTCCAAATCTCCGTTTCTACTCATTTTATTTTCTAAAAGAAGGTCTTGTTTCTCTCCCCTTTAAATGAGTACCTTCTTTATCACAGGGTAAGATTTAGGGTTTTATTTTAAAGTGTTACTGTAGTTGCAACATGAATTTAAAAACAGAAATAAAAAGGGAAAAAATGACAGCTTAGTGGAAAGTGTAAGTTTAATTTTCTGCTTAAGAAAGTAAAGAATAGTCATGTTGCAGCTGAAGCAGAGAGCTGAAGGTTAGCTGTCTGCTCTTGAGGACAAAAATACTGCTACCAAGGTTTCAAATTACAAAATGAAGTAACAGAATGGAAAAGAAGAGTTGTGTGATAACACACTGCATTATGTGTCTACCCTTTTCTCTTTAAGTGTTATTTATGGCACTAAAGACAAACTAAGAAAGATAGTTTAAAATGGTAAATACTATTTTAAAATTATGTACAGGTATTCAACACTAATAAAGAAGAGATCTCTCTCATTATAGGTTTTATTCAGAAAATAATATTAAATATTAATAGTATCATGGAAGTTGATTTGTGACCTTAACTATGGCTTTCTTTCTTGTTAAAGCAAACAAGAGTATCACTTTGCAAATGATGTACTTTACTGTTACTGGATTATATCTAATAAAAAGACAGACACTGCAAGAAATGTCTATGCAAGAGAGACTTTGTACAGAATGTCTGCATGTTAAATTATTTAAGTTTTGCCTCGTGCCCTAGAAGATACCCCATAGAGAGAGACATCTTTTAATAATACTCCATTACTATTTCTATCTTGCTTTAGGAATAAATAAATAAAGACCCTGCTAGTGACACTGAATAGATAGTCTAATGTAAGTGTCAGATGTCATATATCTGATTTAAAAGGTCAAAAATATAGGGGGTGAAATGGAAGTTTCTTGTACAGAAAGTACCCTTCTTTAAAACAAAGACAAATTTTGTACTATACTTGTATTGGTAACTCCTATTAACTCCAATGACACAACTTGTAAAAGGCAAGAAGGATTTTCCGTAATGTATTTGTTTTCCTAATATTACTACACATAAAAGCAGAGAAAACATTTACCAACACATGCTGAATGAAACTGGTAACATGCGGTGTCCTTCACACCACACATTTTTCTAGAGATATGTTTCCTGAAGGTGGATGTTATTAGGAGTACCAGTGGTTTAAAGAACAACTATCCTGTGCTTTTTACTTCTTCCTAGGTTCAGCTACTGTCTGGTTTCCTAGCAATAGATGGTCTGGATTTCAAAGTTCGTTATCTTGGAGGCAACAGTCAGATGGGAATGAGTTTTTGCAAGTATGAGGAAGGAGGATTTCAGCAAGGTACATTTACCTGCAACGGGTAGAGAACTAGGGATGCTAATTATACTTTAAATGTTAACAGATAAAACGCTACGTTTAACCAGTTAACTTTAGAACAGTCCTCTCTCCCCCATCTACGGTTAACCAGTTAACCCTTTACATCCCTATAGAGAACTGTCAAAAAGATTTTTTAGTTGTATGGCAACACTTAGCCCTTTCACAATTCAGTGATGTGAACTCCATTACGACCATGCAGTACTTTCACAGACAACTTTTGTACTGGTGGAACATATCCTCATCAGTAATAGAGTGCAACTGTGTGCTGGTAGGAGCAGAAGCCCTACTAACTTAATCTGTGACACACAGACTGCAGTACACTATTCCTAGACAACATAAAAACACTGTGGTCTCCACAGAAGGAGGGAGGTCTGGAAACAAGGTGCTGGACTGGACTCAGCACATATGGGAGGATTAATGTCAATTCAGATCCCTCTGTTCCCCCATCCACTCCAGGCCACTTGCTTAATTTATTTCTACTAAACAAATCTATGCTTAAATTTCTCTTGGAGAGTTCTCTGAAAATGTCCACTAAATGTGCAGCGACAGCCAAAAAAGCAAACAGAATGTTAGGAATAATTAAAAAAAGGGATAGAGAATAATACAGAGAATATCATGGTATGCCCACATGTTGAATATTGCGTACGGATGTGCTCTCCTCATCTCAAAAAGAATACCTTGGCACTAGATAGGTTCAGAAAAGGGCAACAAAAATTATTAGGGTTTGGAGTGAGTGCCATATGAAGAGAGATTAAAAAGATTGGGACTTCTCAGTTTAGAAATGAGGAGATTGGAAGGAGATATAACAGAGGTCTATAAAATCATGACAGGTAAGGAGAAAGAGAAGTTATTTACTTGTTCCCATCACATAAGAAATAGGGGTCACAAAATGAAATTAATAGGTAGCAGGTATAAAACAAACAAAAGGATGTTTTTCTTCACCAGCACACAGTCAACCTGTGGAACTCCTTTCCAGAGGATTTTGTGAAGACCAGGACTTTAACAGTTCAAAAAAGAACTAGATAAATTCATGGCTGTTAGGACCTATAAACCAGGATGGGTAGGAATGGTGTTCCTAGCCTCTGTTTGTCAGAGGCTGTAAATGGATGACTGAAGAGGGATCACTTCATGATTCCCTGTTCTGTTCACTCCCTCTAGGGAATCTGGCATTGGCCACTGTTGGAACACAGAATACTGGGCTACACGGACCTTTGGTCTGATTCAGTCTGCGAGTTTGTATGTTCATTCTCACAAGTAGCCTGCTCACCTGAGCAGAGGTAAGCACCTGCATAATTAATTGTACTGTTAGGACCAGAACTTATAAACCTTCCTATTATTGCTTGTAGATGATTGCTGTTTACTCCGAGGAAGATGAAGGATTCCTTTTCATTCAATGTAGCAGATCCTACCTGAAATCTAGTGGTTTTTTCTGTTGATTTTAACTCTTCTGCAGTGGTTGACTAACTTTAAATTGCTATCCTTCATGTTTTCTGGATTAAAACCCTATTTATACTAAAGAAAACTGTATGTGTTTATCAGTACAGAGGGGAGGCAGTTACACTCAGGAGGAATAAGTCATTCTAGCTGCTGACCGTGTAATCTCAAGAACACTTAAAGATGGTTAATGGTATTCTGCCAATGTTAAAAGCAGGATGGAATGAAGGGATTTACAGTATCTGATGCTGGGCTCTCAAATAACAAGCTACACAAATTATGTAATTTACTAGCACGATAAGCCTCATTTTGAAATACATTTCACAGTTCCTTCATGCTGAGGAACAATTTCATTATGGAAACTTTCATACCCCTGAGTTGAGCAAAATTGGATATAAGCTTTTTATCCTTTCAAACCTGTTCCCCACACAAATTTCTCCTACACCTTTGTCTGTAGGCTCTCCAATGCAGAGGGCTTTTCTAATCTGTCACAAGCATAGCACAGACCACACTAAACAAGTCTGAAACCTTTTGTGGCACTCTGTGAAAATGTTGACTTTAAAAACATGAGATAGGGAGAAAAAGAGCTTGTTTTGTCCCCTTCCAGTGGCTTCCAATTATGCCATTTTAGGTTGTAAAGTTGCTAGAACTCAAGCATACAGCCTGTATTGATCAAAGACCCGATCCTGAAAGTTCTGGCCATACTCATCTCTCACGGAATCAATGAGACTTGAGGATGCTTAGTACATCACTCATTCTATCCCCTATCCATGCTGACTTTTCCAGTAAAAAAAAAATAAAAATAAAAGCAGGCTTTGTTTTATTAGGTTTAAATGAAATTTCCTCGTAGGAGATCTTTAGCATCATAAAGGATTTGCTTCTTTAAATATTTTCACCCACAGGGACATAGCTAACTTTTTTTTAGTAGTTTCTAGTGTCATTTCTATTGACATGAGACTGATAAACATAGCACAGTGCCATGAGCAATTCCAGAAAGAAAACACATACAGTGAGTAAGTATACTTTTTTGATGTACATGCAGTCCCTGACTTACGTCGGATCCGCAGTTACAAACGGGGCTCGCCCCGGAGGACACGGACTGCGGGACCTCGCGGTCCTGCCGCCCGTGTACTCCGGGGCTTTCTCCGCGTCTCCCAGGTCTGCAGACCAGGAAGACACGGAGCAAAGCCCCGGAGGGGCCCGGGCAGCGGAACAGCTTTGCAAAGCCGCGGGGGGGCTTGGGCAGCCCAGGCGCCCCCCTGCTGTCCCGCTGCCGGCATCCTCAGACCAGGGAGACTGGGAGCAAAGCCGTGGAGGACCCAGGCGGCGGGACCACGGTGCGTCTCGGTCCGCCGCCCGCGTCTTCCTGGTCTGCTGGGGTGGGGGGGGGCGCAGCTAGTACGCCCTCCCCTCGCCCCCCAGCAGACTAGGCTTTTCTCCGGACGCCTGTGGCAGAGCAGCTGGGGTG